AGGGGGGAAGAGGTGGGGTTGTGCCCCTCACGCAGGGAGGCTGGGGGTGCTGGAGGGCCCCTCAACCCGCGCTTGTCTTCCTTCAGCTCCGTGGCATCACATCGAGAACCTGGACCTCTTCTTCTCTCGCATATCCTTTGGCGGGGCAGGGTGCACCCCGCTGCTGCAGGGCTCTGGGGTGACTCAGGGCTGGGACAGCGTCTGCAGCTTCCCGTAGGACATCACACGACTCCAGAGGGGTGGGTGACAGAACCCCCGTGCCTGTGGGGTGCTGTCAGCCGGCATTGAGGGGACAGACAGGTTTTTCTAATGATGCTTGGCAGAGGGATGACGCCACTAAGCTGCAGTTACTACTAAAGCTATTTCCTTAACAGGATATTATGATTAGCATAGAATAGAATTTATAATCAGAGTAGCACAGGATTTCTGTCAGCAGAATCAGTGTAATACCATTTTATAAGTAGCATAGTACAGAATTTCATAGCACTGCTTAGCTTGTGGTTTCTAATCACCTGGATTCTCTGCAGATCGGGTTAGATCTTAATGCATGGTTTGCTGTATCAGGATAACAATTGTAATCTAGGCTCGAAAATGATATAAAAGAGTACAAGTCACCTGCTCAGTTGTTGGAGGAAGCAGACGGTGGTGGAGGAATGCCTGGCAACTGGAGGGTCCTCGCTGTCCAGCAGCAGCTCTGGTTCAGGTTCCTACTTAGGACTTGTAGCTCTTTGATTTGATGGACTGTGCTGTGTGTGCTTCCTTGTTTTGTGATGGGGTTGTCACCACCACTGGGTTGGCCAGGTGCCTGAGACCTTCAAGGCCAGCAAGGAAGAAAGTAATTGGCCTGGTGCCCAGGACTCTTGAGGCCAGGAGGGAGGGGAAGAAGAAATCTGTTTGGTTTGTGAACAAATCTGCTTGGTTCACAGAACCTTAAGGGCCTGATAATGGGGGAAATAGAACTAACAGGTGAGCTTCTCGGTCGCAGAGAATGACTGTTTGTCTTATGAAATGGTGTCAGTTATGCTAACCACATTGCCAGGGGGCAGGAGCAGGTGCTGGTCACGGGTGCTGGGGCTATTACATGCATTTTTTGCCTGTTTCTGTGTTGTCCTGCCCTGCCCACCCTTGTATGGTCTGAGGGCAGGCTGAGTTTCCACTCTGTGCTGTTACAGACGTCCTTCTGGGTGCTGGGTGAGGAAAGAAAGCAGCTCAGATGAAGCCAAGTCCTCTTATCCCAGCTGTGCTTTACCTGGGCAGCGTGTATTTCCCTGCAGTGGAGAATCACCTTGCTGATGAGTAGGGGTGGGAGAGGGTTTCCACTGGTGGTGGAGGGAGGCTTGACTGGGGAGCTGCAGATAGCAGTGGGACAGAAGCCTTTCCAGAGTGTTCTCCTTGACTGTAGCTTTCACGTCTATAACCTGCATCAGAAGAATGGCTTCACCTGCATGCTCATTGGAGAGATCTTTGAGCTCATGTAAGTGCAGGTTCCCTCTCCGTTGGGACTGTGATATCTGCTGGGGAACAGCCACAGGAATTTGCCAGGCTCCTGCAGCTGGGTGGGTGGGAGGGTTCCCTTTACAGTTGTCCCATCTCCCCTTTGTTAGGGTTTTCTCTGCCCCAAACCTGCATCCCACTTCGAGGAGCTGGCGCCCTTGAGCTTCCCTGCCATCAGGACTGTGGGAATGCATCTCTGTGTTGTGTGACCTTGCCTTCTTCATGTTTTGCTCCTCTTGACACAGGCAGAAAGGCGATTCTCTCATGCCCTCTACCTTTCTTCACAGGCAGTTCATCTTTGTGGTGGCATTTACCACCTTTCTTATAAGCTGCGTTGATTACGACATCCTTTTTGCCAACAAAGCGGTAAATCACAGCCAGCATCCCACTGAGCCCATTAAGGTGACTCTGCCAGATGCCTTCCTGCCTCCAAATGTCTGCAGTGCAAGGTAGGGGCAGTGGAAGGCATGTTAGCCCCTGCTCTTGCTTTCTCAGGTACTTGGGGTGCCTGCCTGGGCCTGTGTCCCAATACTTGCCTCTTCTTGCTTGCAGAATCCAGGCAAACAGCTTCCTCATCTGCATCCTGGTGATAGCTGGGGTTTTCTGGATCCACCGGCTCGTCAAATTTATCTACAACATTTGCTGCTACTGGGAGATTCACTCTTTCTACATCAATGCCCTCAAAATCCCCATGGTAAGCAGCTGGGCCAAGGGCTGTGTGCAGGACTGCTAAGGGATGGGGGAGGCATTTGCTGGATGGCGAGAAGCAGCTCACCTTCACTCCTCTTCAGAGCCAGCTTCTCCGAGAAACCTGTGCCTTCCCTCTGCAACATAGCCACGCAGGTCTCCTTTCAGCCTCTTCAGCAGCCAACTTATTTCGCGTTAACCCCTCTCTGCCCAGGCGGCCTCTCTGCTTGCTGGCACATGCCTCTGCCATCTGCCACCCAATATGTTTATGCTTCTGTGATGGCTTTTTCTGTGATGGCTTTCAACAGAGAAGGCATAAGCAAGGATATCCTCGTACCTCCCTGGATTGTGGACAACATCATCTGTCTTGTTCACTGGGGAGGAAACTGAGGCAGAGAGCTGCCTGTCTGATGAAGACCACACTGGAGATTGGTGTGTCAAGGATAGGGTTTGAGGCTTGCAGATGTATCCTAGGCGAGTCCTTGCTCTGATGTACAGCACCAAAAGGTGTGTGCACATCCCTTGAGTAGAGACTGTGTCTTGAGAAAGGTGGGGTGAGCCAAGAGGCTTGGTTTGTCCCTGGCTCTTCCACAGGCTCCCTCTGGGACACTGCTTAAGTCCCTTCCCCTGTTGAGTCCAGACAGCAGCTCTGGGAGGCCCCATGGGAGCCTGGAGCTGTGTTTGTGCCTCCAAGGCAGCTGGTGTGTAAGTGGCTGGGAAATGGTCACCTGTGCTAATCAAGGGGTAAAGGGCACTGGGGTGAGGTGTGGAGTTCGCTCACTGCAGGCTGAAGCGGTGCAGGGAGGTGCCTCGTGTCCTGGTGCTGCATGTGCCTCATCAGCACCCCAGGGTGCATGCTGGGACCTGCTGCTTGAGTGGGCTCAGCCCAAATTCTGTCCCTGGATGTGTCCTGCCCCTAACCTTGTCGCTTGCCCCCTTCCAGTCCACCCTGCCATACTACACCTGGCAAGAGGTGCAGGCCCGCATCGTGCAGATCCAGAAGGAGCACCAGATCTGCATCCACAAGAAGGAGCTGACGGAGCTGGACATCTACCACCGCATCCTCCGCTTCAAGAACTACATGGTGGCCATGGTGAACAAGTCGTTGCTGCCCATCCGCTTCCGCCTGCCCCTGCTGGGCGACACTGTCTTCTACACGCGTGGGCTCAAGTACAACTTTGAGCTCATCTTCTTCTGGGGGCCTGGCTCCCTCTTTGAGAATGAGTGGAGCCTGAAGGCTGAGTACAAGCGGGCTGGGAACCGCCTGGAGCTGGCTGAGAAGCTCAGCACTCGCATCCTCTGGATTGGCATTGCTAACTTCCTCCTCTGCCCCCTCATCCTCATCTGGCAGATCCTCTATGCCTTCTTCAGCTACACGGAAATCTTGAAGCGGGAGCCGGGCAGCCTGGGCGCCCGCTGCTGGTCTCTCTATGGCCGCTGTTACCTCCGTCACTTCAACGAGCTGGACCACGAACTGCACTCGCGCCTCAGCAAGGGGTACAAGCCAGCTTCTAAGTACATGAACTGCTTTATCTCCCCGCTCCTCACCATCGTGGCCAAGAATGTGGCCTTCTTTGCTGGCTCCATCCTGGCTGTGCTCATCGCTCTCACCATCTATGATGAGGACGTGCTGGCGGTCGAGCACGTCTTGACCACGGTCACCCTGCTTGGGGTGGGCATCACGGTGTGCAGGTGAGGTGGGTCTGTGCTGCCCCTGTACTCCTGGCAGCGCTGTGGGGAGCAGTGGGGCTGACGTTCATCCATGCACACACGCTCCTTGGTTGCAAGTGGACGCGAATCTGAATGAGTGAAAGGCACACCTGGGGAGAGTCGAGGGCAAGCAGGAGAATGGGGTAGTGGTGATCTTGGGTGCAGTCATTTTATGATGTGAGGGACATTGCTGGAGCTGTACAGCAGCACCCCAGAGCTGGGCTGGCAGGAAGGTTTGGGTTGGGTGTGAAGGCCACAGGGCCACGGGTCACCCTGCCCTCTCAGGAGCTGAGGTGTGATGTTGTGATGTTTCCCTGTCCTGTCCTACAGGTCTTTCATCCCCGACCAGCACCTGGTATTTTGCCCAGAGCAGCTGCTGCGAGTCATCCTGGCACACATCCACTACATGCCTGACCACTGGCAGGGCAATGCCCACCGCTATGAAACTAGGGACGAGTTTGCACAGCTCTTCCAGTACAAAGCGGTGAGCTTGGCTTCCAAGGAACTGGGGTGAGGACTCACCCCCATCCCTGCAGGAGGGAGGAGCTGCCAGAGAGCTGACCGGCTCCTGGGCTAGCAGAGGAACAAGGCAGCTTTCTCAGAGACACCCTGTCCCAGAAGATGGACTGGTGCCAGGGGCTGGCTTTGGGATTGTGGGTTTTTGACATCCTCAAGCTTGTGCTGAGCCCATCATCTCTGTGCCCAGGTCTTCATCCTGGAGGAGCTCCTGAGTCCCATCATAACCCCCCTGATCCTCATCATCTGCCTGCGGCCCAAGTCCTTGGACATCGTTGACTTCTTTCGCAACTTCACCGTGGAGGTGGTGGGTGTGGGCGACACCTGCTCCTTTGCCCAGATGGATGTGCGCCAGCACGGCCACCCAGCGGTAGGTCCTGCGGGTGGTGGGAAGGCAGCCTGGGCTCCCCACCAGAATGTCTGGTCCTTCAGACCCGTGAGAGGCCACAACTCACTGCTCCTGGCAGCTCACAGCCTAGCCACCTGCCTCTCTGCTGGGTGTCTGGGGCTGCCAGTACAGGTCAGCAGCCTCAGAAGGCTCTTGTGGCCTAGCTGTGATTATTAACGTGATATTGTGTGAACTGGGCTTTGTCATTTCTTTATTTGATGTTCTTGCCTGTCAGTCTTGTGTCTGCAGCAAGAGGAATTGAGGTACTTGGACACCTAGAAAGAGAAACCACTGAGAACTGACTTAAAGAAGCTGGGCTGCTTGTGCCTAGGAGAGAGGCAGCCCCGGGGAGATCGGAAGCATTTGCCATTATGTAAAATCTAGTGTGGAGGGAAAGGGGATCCATCTGTTTCCTGTGCTTGGGAATTTAGGTTAATTGTCAGGAAGGACTCCCTAGTGACAGGGCCGTGAACTAGGGAGGGACTGGACTCACTGTGGCAGGAAGCTTTTAAGAACAGTCATTTGTTGGCTGTAGTCTCTCCTGCTGCAGCCTGGAGAGTGCAAGACAAAGCTTTCAGCTCCATATTTTGTGTCTAGCCCCCGTCTCTCCAGTTCCCTTGCAGTGATACATGTCCTGGGGTGGAGGTGAAGGATGCTGCTTCTTCCCTGGGCTGCAAGGCCTGAACTAGTGTGAGGCTTTTGTTGTAGCACCTGCTGCATGTGAAGCCGTGGCCCAGCTTGTGCTGGGGGTGTTGTGTACTTTGCCTAGACCGATGGCGGGATTCCCAGGGCTGGTGGGGGTGTAAAGCAGATCCTGGCCCTCGTTACCTGTTTGTGCTCTGCAGTGGATGTCAGCGGGGAAGACGGAGGCCTCCATTTACCAGCAGGCTGAAGATGGCAAGACGGAGCTGTCCCTCATGCACTTTGCCATCACCAACCCTAAGTGGCAGCCGCCCCGCGAGAGCACGGCCTTCATCGGTTTCCTAAAGGAGCGGGTGCACCGGGAGAGCAGCGTGGCGCTGGCCCAGCAGGCTGTGCTCCCCGAAAACGCCCTCTTCAGCTCCATCCAGTCCCTGCAGTCGGAGTCGGAGGTGCCCAGACTGAGGGGGGGGTGGAAGTGGGGTGTTCTTGTGGTGCTTGCTGGATGCTGAGAAGCTGATAATCAGCCCTCTGGGCAATATTGCTCTTGCCAGAGCTGGATCTGGGGATGCAAATGTGATAGATCAGAACTAGTTGGGACTGCTGCTGGGTTTCTAGAGAAGGCAGCAGGCTTGTCCTGAGGTGCTGTGAGGTGAGAGAAGGGCTGAGAGAGCTGGGGTGCCTCAGTTCTGTGTTGCTGGCAGGGGATCAGCTCTGCAAGTCTGCACAGAACAGTGATTCTCTCCTTTTCAACTATGCAGCCCCACAGCCTGATTACCAATGTGATAGCGGGCTCCTCAGCACTGGGCTTCCACATGGGCCGGGATGGACAGGCCTCCCGCCATCTCTCTGAAGTGGCCTCAGCCCTGCGTTCCTTCTCCCCGCTCCAGTCTGCCCAGCAGCCTCCCAGTGGGCTTCCAGACGGCGGGAAGGGATGGAGAGGGAGCGCAGCCTCGGGGCGGCAGTGCCATGACTGCCTCTGGGTAAGCTGCAGGCTGGAGAAGGGCGGCCAGACGCCTTGCAGATTCTTTAAACCCTTGTCTGATTGCCATCCTGTTGTCCTAGGTGCACGGTGGCATTTGTCTCTGCAGCCTGGGACAGCAAGGGACATGTTCATAAGCAGAGTTAGGCCTAGGTGCTTAGGCTGTCCCCAGAGGACACTTTTGAGGTTCTGGTGTTGTCCTGTAGGTAACCACTGTGTTGAGAAACCCCTGGTAGAGAAGAGGCAGTGCCATAGCAGGGCTGGTCACCCTGTTCATCTGCAGAGATGCTACAGGGGGCCTGTTCCTACTGAGCCTAGGAGTGGATCTCTGCAAGGCTGACAGAGTGGAGAGGGGCTGGGCGGTGTGGGGGGCACCTGGGCAGCAAACACCACCTGTGTGTCTCCCATGGCAGTGCTGATGCGAGGACCGTGAGCTCGGGGAGCAGCGCCTGGGAGGGTCAGCTACAGAGCATGATCCTGTCGGAGTACGCCTCCACCGAGATGAGTCTCCACGCACTCTACATGCATGAGGTGAGCAGCCTGGAGCTGGGCCAGCCAGAGGGAGCGTGGGGCCAGGGCAGGCAGGACTGGGGTGCCCTGTGTGAGTGAGAGCTGAGACCACTGTTCGTACAGCGCTGAGGAAAGGGTTTGTTTTGATATCTGGGATCTCCCACACAGCTGACTCACTCATGTTTTGGCCTGCAGTTGCACAAGCAGCACGCCCAGCTGGAGCCCGAGCGGCATACTTGGCACCGGCGGGAGAGCGACGAGAGTGGGGAGAGTGCCCACGAGGAGCTGGATGCCCAGCGGTGTGGCTCCGTCCCCATCCCACGCTCGGCCAGCTACCCCTTCGCCTCACCGAGGCAGCCTGCTGAGGAGATGGCCACGCTGCAGACTGGCTTCCAGCGGCGATACGGTGGCATCACAGGTAGGGGAGCCAGGACACGGGTCAAACCCCATAACCAATGTCCTGGATGGGTGGCACAGGCAGCCTGCCTCCTCCTGGAGACCGGCAGTGCCCCAGGTAGCTCATCTTCCTCCTTGCCTCTCCTGCAGACCCGGGCACAGTACACAGAGCCCCATCACACTTCTCCCGCCTCCCTCTAGGAGGCTGGGCTGAGGACGGGCAGGCGGCGAGACACCCAGAGCCCGTGCCAGAGGAGAGCTCGGAGGATGAGCTTCCACCACAGATCCACAAGGTAGGAGTGAAGGCTGTGGCTGAGAGGGTAGACATGTACTTGAGGTGCCAGGTTGGGGTGGTGGCAGCTGCTTCCGATAGGTGCCACATCCCCTCTCTGTCTTGCAGGTATAGCCTTGTAGACTGGGGATCTCGTGGGGGTTGCAGACTGGGAGCCGCCTGGGCAGCAGGATGGCATCAGCCTGATTCTTCTCCTGTCCTGAGTGCACGGGACAGCCCTGGGCTCCATTTTGTTGCCATCAATTGCTGAAGAGACAAAACTGCCAGGCCGACGGCTTTGCGGTGGCACCTTGTGTCCAGCTGTGTGAAGTCACCGCCGCTCTGACTCTCGGGGGGTGGATGTGTGTGTGAGTACATACGTGTGTCTGTGTTCACATCTGTGTCGTCCGTGTCAGAGGATGGCTGCTCAGCCTGCTGAAGCTGACGTGACTGGACTAGCAGCGGGGAGCTGTGGACTGGTGTGGAGGTGGCGGCAGCAGCTGCTGTTCAAAGGGATGCGAGATGGCACCAGCTCCAGATGTCTGCTGGGAGCTGGGACCTGTCTCCAAAGTGAAGGCAGGAGCTGTTGTGGGCAGTCAGGCTCAGCCTGTAGCACCGCACCTGCCCTGCCTGCAGCCCTCAGGAGGCACCCAGGACCACGTTTGCCCTCCTGGAGAGAACCAGTGTTGTGCTTCTCAGCCCAGAACAGGACAGCAGTGGGGCAGTCGCCCACCCCTCTGCTGGGATGGGCCCCAGCTGCTGCTGGTGTGGGAAGGGATGGGATCTAGAGCTGGTGGGAACAGCTCCTGCCAGGATCCGGGGATGCTGCAGCTCTCCCCCAGCTCTCACTACAGCTGGCCCACCCTCTGCACACAAGGAAGGGTCGGTGGGGTCCCTGATGTCCCTCCCAGCTGGCAGCCTCTGTGCCAGACCTCTGGGCTAGGGCAGCATCCTCCCCGCTGCGTGGCACCCCTGGGATGCGGGCTGCTAGCAGGGCCTCCTGGAGTGCCAAAGAGACCTCGGGGTGCAGCAGCCTGGCATCTCCCAGGAGTGCCCGGAGCCCCCTCGGAGCCCACCCTGAAGGTCTTGTGCTCTGTGTTATGGTTCCCTTCCCCCAGGCATTGTAAAGGCCTTTTCCCCATGCCCAGGCTGTGGTGCATTGGGTCTGTCCTCCCGATGGGGCCATTTCTGTGGTATTTGGCTTTTCCTCTTCCCTAAGCAGAGGCTTCGGCATGTCTCACATCTCACCCAGGGGCTTTCAGCTCCTCCTGTCCTCCTGAAACCATCCTTTTGCTTGCAACATGGCTTCAGCTGCTGTGGAGACCTTAGGCCAAGCAGCTGGCTCATACCTGGGAGACAAGGAGGGGTGCCCTGAACCCAGAAGGGAGAGGCAAAGGCCATGGAGATCAGGATCCCAGCTGTGCAGCGTGGCCTCAGACAAGACCTTCGCACCATCCTTCTGGTTTCCCTCTCTTCTCTCCCAGAGGCAGCTTGTGAGGATCTGCATCCCAGCTGACCCCTGCCAGGCTTTGCTTTCCCTCTTCCCCCCCTCCCCTTGCCTCTGGCAGGGGTTGTTTCCTTTTGCCCTGCCTTTTGCAAGCACCGCAGGCCCTGCTCTGCCTCCTCTCCTCTCCTCCCCTGCCGTGGTTATCGCCCTCTGCCCTTTGAGCCTGGGCTGGGTGTGCACTGCCAAACTGCCTGCTGCCCAAGTACCTGCACCCATGTCGCCAGGGTGTGAGCAGGGCTGGGGTGCTCGCCTAGGGGCAGGCTCTCTGGGGGTGGCGGTGGGCTCCCTGCTGTGATGGGGAGGGACGGACCAGAGCTGCAACGGCTCTTGGGTCTGTAAGAGAGCTGGGGATAGAGATCAGCTCCTCACCGCTGGAGTCAGAACTAAGCTGGGGGTCTGGGGACTGCTGAGATCCTTCCACAGAGGAGTGGCTGCAACAACCCTGCAGCAGCTCCTGCTTGGGGCTGTCCTTGGCGTGGTGAAGGGAAACTGAAAGGAAAGCTTGCAGGAACCCCAGCTTTCCAGTGGTCTCCTCTGGCACCTGGGCTGTGGCCCTGCACGGAGCTGAGCCTCCCCGGGGCTGGTGGATGCTG